CTTTGCCCTGAGATTCCCATTTAGTTCTTTGGTGTTGAAATTTTCGTTCTGGGTCTTGTTCACTTCTGTTATTTGCTTGTAATTTATCGAAATGGCGCTTGAGTCTTCCATTCTGACTTTGCCTAGGTACAATTCTTGCTCGAAATCATGGAGTTTCATGTGTTGCAATAGGCAAACAAAATTTCCCATGAAGGTTTTGCTGCAAAATAATCGATACCCATTTCAATTGCGGTCGAACTGCATTGGTAATAGTGGTTTTAGGAGCTTCTTAGGTCCAAGATGTGAAGGAGTTGACGTGTTGGTTAATAGAGCTCGTTTGCAAGCTCTAGCTGAGGATAATGAGAGTTCGGGCAGTGCAGATGTTGTTTCGGGTTCAAAGTTTGATTTTGTTAAGGAATTGGTAAAGTGCGGAATTGTTTTGGCAGCCATGGTTTGTGGGGTTTTAATTTATGGGTGCAGAAGAGCTTTTGCGGTGGAGGGTGTGGTGAATGCAGGCTATGGGGTTATTGGGCAGAGCATATTGTTGCTCAGGAATGCCTGGCCGAAGACATTGCAGGTTCTTCAGCTCTTCAAAGAGCAGGGTTTGATTTTGGCTTTGCTTTTGGGACTCTCAGCGTTTTTCTCAATGGCGGAGACTTCAATTACCACACTGTGGCCCTGGAAGGTATGAATTGGTTATGCTCTGTGAATGCTTATATCATAGGCATTGTGAAAGATTGCTTTTGATTTGTTTGGATGACGAATTTTTTGTCCACCTCTGGACATTGCACTCTTTATGACTTTTTTAATGAAGTAACTTGCAACTAAGCCATTTCTGATGATGTTCGAAATGATAAACTGTAAGTGCAAGTTTTATGTTATTTATCCTTTTAAGTTATGGGTAATTTGACTTAACAATGGAGGAACACTGTATATTTGTCAATGCCAACTATTTATCATTCATTAACATTTGTGTGCTGGTTTCCATGTCTGGTTTTATATCCTTGTACCCTGAAGTAGAGTTAGACTCTTGTTCTCTATAGATTGTATTGGAAATTACATTTTTGACCTTGGAATGCAAAGCATCCTTTCTTAAACTTGCTAATTCAACAGACTTGATTTCATACACGAGGGTTAAAAGTATTTGTGGTTAGCTTTTTGAATGACCTCCAAATAATATGGAATTAAGGACCTTAATATATTATGGCTTTCTTCTTTTTCAGTGCTTATGTGTACATAAAATTGTAACTTTGAAATGTGCATATCCAATTTTCAGTAAATGATCAACCTATTAGCTTACTGAAAGAAAATGAATGATCTGACCCATTAGGATCTTGAAATAACATCAGTTAATTGATATTAATGTGTGTCAGGTGCGTGAGTTGGCTGAGAAAGAGTCTGAAGATGGTGTCTTCAAATTGCTTCGCAACGATGTTACTCGGTTCTTAACAACCATACTTATTGGAACAACGTACTTTCCTTCTCATTTTTGTTGGTATTAATTTTTCTACTCTTCCATCGTGAAGTTGAACATTTCTTTCTTATTGTAGAATTTCCTTATGTACTCAGTGTTGTCAATATTGGAGCAACTGCTTTAGTTACAGATGCTGCAACAGCAATATTTGGTGAAGCTGGTGTTAGCGCAGCAACAGGAGTAATGACTGTATGTTTCATTTTCCTTGCTTGATCAATTAATAAGCATAGATATGGAGGTACAGAGTTTGATATAGGGATAAGTATTTTGGACATTCAAACTTTAAAACATGCTGTTTAGTGCTTAATTTATGTTTGTTTTTTATCTTTTCACCGTACCCTTTTTGTATCAACAAACTTCTAATTATGAATTATCCCAATAACTAGTATTCTGTAGTCTTCACTCAGTAATCTCAGACAAAATATTTCTACGATTGCCCTTTTGTCTGTTGGAAACAGAGGGGGCGGGGGCTGAAGAAACTCCTATATTAAAAAAAAATGGATGTCTTTTCATTTCGTATAAAGTACAGTTTTTTGTTTCTTTTTTAGTGTGTACCTGCACTCTCTCTCTTTCTCTATCTCTGTGTCTAGATAGAGAAAGATTGATTCAATAAACTCATAGTTCTGAAAGAGTCTAATTTGTTTTATTAAGTGAAATTGAAGAAGAGAATGCTATTTCCACTGTGTTGAGTCTGGCTTTTGTTGAAAAGTTGTTATTTTAGATGTTAAGAGCAAAATCAGTGTTCTGTCTTTCCTCTCCTCATTTCTTATCAAAGGCCAGAGGCTGCATACACATATATAAGAAAATAATGTACTAGTGGGACTGATATTTAATACTGTTTATTTATCTTGGTGATGCAAGGTTGCTATTTTGCTCCTCACTGAAATAACTCCCAAAAGTGTCGCTGTTCACAATCCCACAGAGGTTGCAAGGTTTGTGGTAAGTTAGAAACTGTAGAGTTTCTCTAACTTCTACTAAAACCCACATGACCACTAATTAGACATCTTTGTCTTTTTCTTTAGACTTTTAGTTGTGTTAACTCATTTTTTCTTAACTGATATTATTCCTGCTTGTCTTGATTAATTTGGTCAATGTTGGGTGTGATGCCTCTAGGTTAGGCCAGTGGCGTGGCTCTCATTGGTATTATATCCTGTGGGAAGAGTTGTTACATATCTATCAATGGGGATTCTAAAAATACTCGGGTTGAAAGGAAGAAGGTTTGCTCTTTTGATAACCCAAATTTGAATTCTCCCTAACTTCCAATTTATGTCATATTTATTTCATTTGCTGCTTATCAATAATCCAGTTGGTGCTTGGCTGGTGCTGCTTGACAATTATGGTTATTAGCTCTTTGTGCTTATGGACTTCATAGTTCGCATTATAATTTAAATAACATTGTGTGTCAAAGGGTTAAGAAGGACGATAGAGATAGACTATGGGTTAGGGCTGGGGTCGGTTTGGGCCCAAAACATGCGTCAAACCGGGCTAGTTGGTTTGCCCAAATTTCAAACTGAAACTGAACCAACAGGGCTTCTAACTGACCAGGTCTAATTCCTGCGTCACAGTTTATAATATCTTGGGCTTCTCTATCATTACCAAATGGTTCTAGGTGGGATGCTCTAAATTTAACATGGTGTCAAAGCCAACGCTCCACGTGTCTGGTAATACAACCACACACACTCCATATCATCAATATAATTGATCCACGTGTTTGGATCAGTCTTGCCACATGTGAGGGGCGTGTTGAGAATATAGAATCCCACATCAGAAATTCTAAGCCATGCATAACAATATGTATGGTCTTGGGTCTCTTCACCTAGCCAATTGGTTGTGGGTTAGATGCATTAAGTTTAACATAATCTTTGGACTGTTATCTCATGTGTTTCTTGATAGTAAGTGGAACATCCACCATGCTAGAGTATTGTGGCTTTCTTTCTTTTAACCTGATAAATACATGAAGGTGTTGCTTTCATTTTATGGATAAGAGAGAATTAGATATATGGAATATTGAACTTGTACCTGTTAATATTGTTTACGGATGTGTTTTGTTTACTATGAAAATGTTCTTCTTGAAAATTATGCCTTTGTTTTACACCTTTTCTATGATCAGTGAACCATATGTTACTGAGGAGGAGTTAAAACTGATGCTGCGGGGGGCAGAGTTAAGTGGGGCAATAGAGGAGGAAGAACAGGTACTTGAATAGTTTTTGGTTTCCCATAAATATTTTATTCTGCTGCATTACTTCCAAGTTGCTAAAGAAATATTCATTTTCTGAGTATAATGAAGAAAATCCAAGTTATCAGCTCTCAATTCAATGCTTCTGCCATCAAGTATTCTATTGTTTTTTCAATATGTTTCCACCAAATCTTTATGTTATATGTGAAGATTTAATATGGCAGACATTTTGCTGTTATCCTGTCTTTGATGAGTGAAAATCTTCCTAAGAAATACATTTTGTGAGATACTATTTGACTAGTCGAGTTCCTGTTGTATATGGAGAGAAGAGAGACAGTGGGGTGGGGATGTAAAAGTAATAATTTCAAACTATTGGATTTATCAAGGCACTTGAAAGAGTAGCTGGGCGGTTATTGACACCCACAGCTTTGTTTGGGACGTGAGGAATTTTTAGTAACACTACATTCTATCCTAGAGAAATTTTTGTGCATGAAGAGAAAAATGTTTGTTTCTGGATTAACTTCCACATGGAATTTCTCCATGAACTTCAGTTTCAAAATATCTCTGTTTATATATGTGTATATACGGTAATGCTCTTTTGCCATATCTAATGTTAAATTATCAATCTGGATCATACTTTTAAACAAGAATATACCTGGGCAACAGTGCGGATGCCAAACTGTCTGGCATGTTATGGTACTAAGCTATTAATCTGAACCATTGATCAGGTGGAATCATGCTTTAATGTGTGTTCCTATTTGACTGTATGACAACATAACTTGACAGTATTTGGCAAAAAGGCATAGCAAAAAAAACATTCCAGATATCTGGCAAAAGAAGACATTCCCATTTATTACGTGCATGTGTGTATGTGCGTCATCTAGCCAGTCCATAGCCATTTTATTTCTCCTGTTTTGTAGAATATGATGCTTGTCATGAATATGAAATTCCAACATCTTTGTTCTCTATAATATCACTTGTGCTCGTTTCATCATCCCACCACTACCCCCATCCCCCCTTTTAAGTTTATTAATTGTAAAGTTTTGTGCTCGAAGTTCCTTATTTAAGATACACTTTTTATTGGAAAAATAAATCCTTTTGCAGGATATGATTGAAAATGTGCTGGAGATAAAAGATACACATGTTAGAGAGGTGATGACTCCTCTTGTAGATGTAGTTGCCATCGATGCCAGTGCAACACTAGTTGATTTTCACGACTTGTGGGTAACTCATCAATATTCAAGGTAATCCAAAATTTTAGTGGTATGGTGAATAGTTCTTTAGTGCCTTCAGCTGATAATATTTTGAACATTCTTCTTATAGGGTGCCTGTTTTTGAGCAGCGTGTTGACAATATAGTAGGAATTGCATATGCAATGGATCTATTGGATTATGTTCAGAAGGTCGGACAGTTTGTACTCCTGTTTATCTCTCTATGAGATGCATATTCTTTGTTTATTAATTGAATAAAAAAATCTCATAGTGCGCAGAACTGTGAATATGTTTGATTTTGAAGGGTGAGCTACTAGAAAGTACTACTGTCGGGGATATGGCTCAGAAACCTGCTTACTTTGTGCCTGGTAATTCTTTTTATTATGCTAAGTTCTGATAAACACATGTATTCTACATTGGATATTCATTGTATATTGCTCTCTCTTAATTTTCTTGTGCATTATTTGCAGTTATAATTCTGACTTGTATACTTTATAAAAAATCTCATAGTGCGCAGAACTGTGAATATGTTTGATTTTGAAGGGTGAGCTACTAGAAAGTACTACTGTTGGGGATATGGCTCAGAAACCTGCTTACTTTGTGCCTGGTAATTCTTTTTATTATGCTAAGTTCTGATAAACACATATATTCTACATTGGATATTCATTGTATATTGCTCTCTCTTAATTTTCTTGTGCATTATTTGCAGTTATAATTCTGACTTGTATACTTTATAAACAAAACCATTTCTGTAAATAAAATGGTTCAATGGAACTGATGTCCCTGGGTGGTGGTTGCTTAACTGATTTGGCCCCATTCCAGCAAAGCCTTGGGGATGCGTTAAGGTTTAAATCCTTTGGGTTCCACCCAACTGTCTAATCTGTTGTCTGGTACATTGAGTTCCAAGCGCTCTATTCGCTGTAACAAATTTTATTTAGGTCATGCTCATAATCAGTAGGAGTCATTGAATGAAATATATGAGCTCAGGACACTGGAGCTGATGTTGCTGCATGATACTAGGCCAAGTGATTTGTAAAGTTTTGCCACCATTACTTTACACTTCTGATTGTGTTATTTAACATAGTATCAAGTTGGCGCTGGACAGCCCTTTAAGCAGTTATAGGCTGTTCATGGTTGAAGTTGTCTGTACTTTTTGAAGTTTCTGTTTCTTGGTTGGTCGTTTGAAGCTCCTGTTCTGATAAGTAGTGGTTACACTACTTATATTTTCTTTCCCCTGTAGATATGAAATCATTTTTTAATCAATATGATTCCATGTTAATGAGTTTGGCCTCATGCTCTCACTTACAGTTCTAGCATTTGTTCATGCTACATGAGTCTGGTCTCATGTTCTTGTTGACAGATTTAGCAGTTTGGTCATCAGTTGATGTTTGCATAGAGCTGAATATCTTAGGTTTTGTATCATTGAATCTAGGTGTGCCTTGACTGCAGCAGGCATTTGTCTGTCTTCATTTGGAACAACAATGTACACCATCCAGTTCTTAATTTTGTTTTGGACTGATTATGGTCCTTAATTTTCCAATACATAAAGTAGTATAATCCATTTTGCAGATTCAATGTCCGTCTGGAATCTTCTTAGGGAGTTTCGCATCCGAAAGGTTCACATGGCTGTGGTTCTTAACGAATATGGTGGAACTGTTGGGGTATGTTCTTCATTCATCGTTGAATTGAACTTCTGATGTTTTTGTTAAAAATTCACCATGTTGCGCAGCATGTCTCTAACTTGTTTTGTGATGAAACAGATAGTAACCCTGGAAGATGTCGTTGAGGAAATTGTTGGTGAAATATTTGACGAAAATGATTCAAAAGTAATTCTCACTACTAGTGTTTATACTCGTTCATCTACCTTTTTTTAATGAGTAATTCAATAATTAAAGCACTAAGGGGGCCACAACCCATATGCTGGTATGCATAACAAAAAATTATTGCATTAGAAAGCTACAAAATCAAAGAAGGTTATTTTGGTCAGACAAGTGAAAAACGATTTTCTTTGTCCCGGCAAATATAATGTTTAAGAAATGAGCCCTCACTTACTTGGAGATCTTCTAACCCCATAAATGAGTGCAACTCTTTTAGAACCATAAACACACAAAACTATTGTTCTCAATATAATTGGTAACGCTAATATTTTGGAAAAAGAAAAATCAGTTGTGGTGGCTGGTTGATATCATATTTTTAAATTTCTTACTGAAATTATTGATGCTGGACCAGGAGGAGATTCAAAAAAAAACTGGCTACATTGTAATGCGTGCAGAGGGTATATTTGATGTGGATGCAAACACATCTATCGACCAGCTCTCTGAAGATCTAAATGTGAAGATGCCTGAGGTATTTATCCTTGCGAGTGTAAAATCCTGAATATTGGTTTTGAAATTTATCTATACGTGATCACACCGTACCTATTCTCTCCGGACCTTTCTATTATGACCAGCCAAGGGAAATCTATCCTAGTCAATATCTCCATTTGATTAATTAATTAGTTTGCTATAATGGTTCTATCTGTTGACTTTGAGCAGTAGAGCATTCCCATCTATTCTGGATATATGCTTGTTCATTGTCATATTTTATTGTAATGGGAGACAACTAGACCATACCATGTAGCCATGATTTATTTATTTTACTAAATAGAAAAATATTAGAAATCTAGAAAGCACCTAGGCCCCTTGGGGGCACAACCCTAGTACCCAATAAATGTTCAGCCTTGCACACCTTATGTCTATTGGGAAACAAAATTTGCAGCACTGTGACAGCACATTCACAAAAGAATTGGCAAAACTCAAGAAACTCTAAACAAAGAGAAAACAGAACCACTTCTCCAAAGCCACTGTGCTGTGAATAATCAAATGATCAACAGATTCAATAGAACGCTTGCATGAGAAACAACTATTAACAAGAAATTGGCTGTGTTTCATTAGTAGTCAAAATCTTGTGATGAACAGCTGTCCACATATGAAGTAGCATTTCTTATCCACTGTTAATATTAGAGAGCTGATTTGCTTGTTTGGAGTACAGGTTTATAGGTATCGTATATTTCCTCCGTTTAAATACATGCATCTTTTGAGGGCCTTGTAGCTCAAGTCGTTAAGAGCTAAGAGCGTTTACTCCTGTATCAGATGTCCTATGTTTGAATCTCCCATCCCCCAATATCACTTGTATAAAAATAAAAAATAAAAAACACAGGCATCTAAACCCTCAGCCATTCTTCAGAGAAAAAAAGAAAAAATAATCCCCCAACCATTATTATCCTTACCTAATAATTATGATTATGAATTGAGAGCTGAATCGTAATACTTTGCAAGAGCTCGTTAATTTCTGCGCATTATTGATAATCAAAGCATAAAGTAATACAGAAGATTTCTTTTCCCAATTGTGATCTGTTTTTGTTTTCAATGTAGACAGTTTAAAAAGTATCGGTATTATGCGTTGAATTGTAATTGACATTGTCCATCAATTTTGGCATGTACATTGATCTCTCACCCTTCACTTCTTGTTTACAGGGTCATCAATATGAAACAGTATCAGGGTTTATATGTGAGGCATTTGGATATATCCCAAGGACGGGGGAGAGCATCAAAGTAGTCCTTGAAAAGGAAATTGAAGAGGAGATTGATGAGTCCAAGTCTGACAACCAGGATAAAAAGGATAAAAATGAAAAGCACCAAATTTTTAAAATTGAGGTATGATGAAGATTTTGCACCATTTAGTTCTTTGCATGTGTTAAATTCTAGATGATCTTGAGTTGGTCAATCATGTATTTGGTGGTGGGCTGGGGGAGATTTGGTATGCCTTGGATTATTTAGCATTAGAAAAAAAAAAAAACTATCCTTAACTTGTACAAGAGTAATATCAGTGTTGCTATTGTTCTTTTGGGGCAGATACTAGCAGGAAATGCCAGAAAGGTCGGTTCTGTTCGATTTGAAAGGATAGAGAATGATGCTGCGACAGTGGAGACCAAAGAGGTGACCCGCTTGGTTCCCAAAATCATGAAAAGGAAGTGGAGTACTGATCACGACTCAGATGGTACAGAGTATGACGAGGATTCATTTCAAAAGAAACCACAGAATACAATATCTGATGAACATGAAGACAATGTTGATAATCTCAGTATACATTAGTTGCATTGCTTGCGATTCCCTTTTTCACGGAATCATAGAAGAGGTAAAGATTGAGTAACAACGAAAATCAGGAAAGAATATTGTAAAAAAAAAAAAAAAAAAAAATCATTTGAGTGCTGAAATTTTCACTTTTGCCTATCCTGATACATGTCTGGTATTTGAGGACTATAAGTTTGCCAACTGGATTCCTATGATCCTGACATCAATATGTGGTAGATAGAGCCAGCTTTAAGGGAGATGGCCTAGGTGGAGTAGCTCATTTATACCGTCACCGCATGGAGCTTCCCATTTTGTGATTAGCCTTGAGCTCCCTCTACTGTCAAAAGTTATAAACCTAGATGTGGATGTAACTTGTCGATATGACTGGGGAGTGCTCTTTAAAAAGGCAGAGGTTGTCTGTATAATAGTATGTTCTGAAATCATTCAATTATCTTCAAAGCCAGGGTTTGCAGGACCTTTTTTCTTTCTTTTTCAGGAAGCCATGAAATGATGATTGTTTGAGTTGTTTGAGCCAGCCAAGTCATAAAAGAAGTTTGACTTGCAGTTTGTAGTTTTTATGGAATGATAGGATTTCAAAATGTCAATCTTGTGTCGAATCAACACCAGGAAAAGAGTATACAACTTGGGCTGAAGGTTCCGAAGCTTTTCCCTGTCAAAGTACAATCCAAATCAGTTGCATCACATTAAGAAAAAAAACAATGAAAAACTACTTTGGAACCTTGGATATTAGCCATTGGAAGTTATTGCAAGTGTCTGCAGCGCAAGAGAATAAAAAGACGTGTTGAATTAAGAATATCATTTCTTTTTCCCTTATACATACATAATTTTACTTGGATCACTGGAGGGTCCATTTGAATCTCTCTTTGTATGTCTTTTGTTTTTTTGTTTTTTGTTTTCACTTCTGACCCAGGAAGGAAATCTAAACTTGAAATCTCTTCCAACAAAGTCGAAAGCTATACCACTATCTGTATTCGTGTGAATTGATCATTTATTTTAATCACATGTACTATATGTATTTAATTTGTATTGATTCACGTGATTATGGCTTGTTTCTTTGTCACATTTCTGATGGCATCTCTTGTTTATCTACGTTGATGCTGAGATTATCATTTCTTTCCAAAAACTAATAGATTTGGGTGGAAATTAAGAAAAAAAATTATGGGACGATCTCATAGGTTTAGTGTGTTCATAAATTAATCTAAGGGCTGTTATTAAAGAGGACCTCACATGACTTCATTTTTAGGTCCTTAGATGAGCGGTACTATTTCTGATATATTGTCCATGTTGGAGATATTTCCCCTTTTTCCTTCTACGATACTTCCTTTTTTCCCTCCTACCAAACGAACCCTCTAAAGCTCACTCATCATCTATCATTTATCTATTTTTAATGCAATCTCTATACGTGCAATTCCCTTGACATTAGGGGATATTTTCATATTCTTTTGTACATAATTTTGTACAATCTGCCTGGTAGTTTTATGTGATTCCAACTTATAATCGGAGAGAAGCTAGACAAATAGCTAGTTAGTCCATTGTTTGTCAGCTTGATCAATGAGGACACAATATGAAATCATGCAGAGGGAAAGAGTGATTAAACCTTACAGAATATGATGATTGGGATCCATTCGCAAAGAGACCAGATCAGACTGGACTCTAAAAGGAACATAAGATACTGATCATGATCCTCCTCGTACATACTGATTAATTACATTGCTAATCCTTCTCCCATATAAGTAATAGATCTAGCTACAAAAAAAACAAGAACAGAACAAGCGATTAACATATATGCTTCTCCCATAAACCCTAGAAGTTTTTCAAAGGTGAAGTGAGGTGTCAACATCTGAATCATCGAAGTTGTTTGTTCTGTTCATGGCCGATACTGAACTTGAAGATATGTTTCCCAAGACTTGACTCTCATCATCAGAGACCTGCAGAAAATTGGCATGCTTGCTCTGCAAGTTAGGTTTGTGGTACATTGAGCCTTGGGGAGGTGGCTTATAATGAGGATCTGTCAAGCCACCAGAGCCACCAGATTGGAAGAAGAACCCAGTTGGCTCATAATGTGTGGCTGGAACGTTAATTCTCTCTGATCCAGATAACATCTGCCTCAAGAGCTCTCTCTCCTCCCTCATCTCCTTTGCTCTCTGCAATTGCCTAAACCTCTCTTGCAATAGGACAATGGAAGAATTAGCAACAGTGCCATCAAGTCCTTGCCTAGCCATAGAGAGAGAGGGATGTATGATTAACCTTCAAAGAGACTGTTCAGACTGCCTTTTGAGGTGGCAATGGGGTTGCATTGCTATATATATATAGGACAGGGGCAATTTTGTAAATGTTTATTTTATATTCAAATGAGGCTGCCATCACAGATTCTAATGATGTAAACAAAGAAAGAAGTATCAGCAGCTGTGATGCAAAATCCAAGAAGGCAAAGCCTGGTGACTAAATATTCTCATAAGTTGGGGTTGGTGTGAGGAAAGGCAGCAGAAAGGCTCGATAGGGAGAAAATGGTGGGAAAAAGAGTCCAAATGGTTATGTAAGGTAGCTTTTGGATATCTTTTTTGGAGGAATATATGGATGGGCGATGCTTTGTCGGCTTGTCTCCAAGAGTTGTTGATGCGGCTTTGGAGAAGATGTTGCCTCTTTTGGTGAGGCTTTGGTGGGATTTTGTTGTTCTTTATGAAAAATATTTGACTTCATATTATAGTCATTTTCTCCTTACGTAACAAATTATACTATAACACGTGTGTTAAAAAAATTCTTTGTGTGATTTTTTAATAAGAAATTTTTGTGAAGGTGACCTAGTATTTTGGATTGAGAACTTTAAATATGGGCTATAAAATATGGGAAAGACTAATTTTTGCTGGGATGAGTAAATATTAGTACCAAGTACTGAGGTTGGATACCAAGGGAGAAATTGGTACAAGAACTTGAGGACGCACACTTCTTGATGATGGAATCCGCCGCAGACAATCAATCAAGGACGGTCATAATAAGATTTAATTTTGACTTTCAAATATAGCACTGTCCATCCAAATTACTTAAGAGAGTGTATTCAATCCGTACTTATAAAAACCTTTTTTATAAGTTTGATCATTCAAGATTTTTTTCCCAGATTTTGTAGGAGATTTTTTTGCACATTCTCTTTTCATCTTTGTGGATTACAGACAATAAAGTAGAGGGTGGGGATGTGGGGAAGGGAGTTGATAGAAGAAAATTAATATTGGGGTAACTGATTTGAATTTGATTTTTTCTTGATTGTTTTGTACCTTTTCTAGAAAGGAGAGAAAGAGAACCTACCAAAAGGCACAATTAATCTATACAAGAGCCCCTCCCCCCTCCCTCTTCTTAGGCACAACTATCCTATACAAGAGCCCCCCCTCTCCTCCAACTCCACTCAGATATTAATGGGAAGGGCCTCTCTTTCTATTAACTTTCTGTTTTGTTTTCAAGTTGTTGGATGAAAATGCATTGTGGCAGTTCCTGTTTGATGGTTCTATTTAACGCCAGGAGCCCCTTTTGTTAGCCGTCAAAAGGGAAAAACAAATCAAATAATAAAGAGCCAATATAATATAAGTGGCGCGTGCCTATGGCTATAATGTAGGTATAAATAAATTAAATAATGTTGCGGTTTTGAAAGTTTTGAAATATTTTTGCTCACCACTTTAACCTAATGTGTATTTTTACCACTATAGTTAATTTTTTGCTTTGTATTTATGGAACCATGATTATGCTCATGGATACGTGTCAAGTGTTGAAAATGATGGTAATTATACCTTGGATTAAAGTAGTGAGCAAAAATGCTCTTTTGAAAGTTTAGGGGGAAATTGGCTACTCATAAATAAAATAATGTTATGGCAGCTTTTGTGTAGTATTTTGGTAAAAGAACATTATCTTATAGGGCACAATCTCAAGGTTGCCAAACAGAAAAACATTCCTCTCCAATACATTATCCCAGAATTTTGTGAAGCACAATGCATTAAAAGTTGCTAAGCATGCTTTTGAATGAGTTTATTTTGTCGATGTAATGTTAAGCTTTTGGTTAATTTTAAATTAATGTGACAATTTGGGTTGCATGAAAGGAGCAAGCTTGTCAATTATTGGACCCAGAGACACATTCATCGATGGCAAGATTTTTATATGAAAAGGACAAGTGGAGGTTTAAACATTTAGTCCAAAGTCCAATTCATAACGCGACACAAGTAAGAAGATCTGAAGATGGAAGCATATATCTTATCATATATGCCCACGGTGTATCTCCTTGTGCTTTTATAGGGAAATTATAATTTGAAAATGTAAGTATCTAACTTTGATCAAATTTTTTTTTGCTATTAAAACCAAGTGCTTTGATTGGATTGGTGCGCCCTGGCCTTTGGCCCACCCTTAAATTTAGCATTAAGATAATATACATTGTATTTTATTTTGTGAAGCTTGAGGTGGGATTTTACTCGAAATAAAAGTTTGCTATTAGTCACTGTGAGCCGAGCAATATTGAAGTGATGCTTGAATCAGTTATCAAGTCTTGATTTTTCTAAACCATGCGGCCCACTGGTCTGCAGGGCTTTAACCTTAATAAGCTTTGTAGAAGCTGCAGGCCCATCATGGCCTTGGGAAAACACACAAGTTGTTCCCTTTGGCATATCAATGCAATTAGGTTATTTATTTACTCCAATTAATAATGAATGCAATTCCTTCAGATTCTCAGTATAAACCCAATTGCTGCTGCATACAAAATATATTCATTTTTATAATCGGGTTGGGACTGGGAGGTGAAAAGATTCAACAAGAACTCATCACTCATCACTCATCAGGTGGAGTGGAAAGATGTATTCATAAGGGAAATGGTCCAACCGGAAATTGAGAAAGTTCTGTTTCATAAGGGAAATGGTCTTTGTTTGATGTTGGGGTGACACTGACATTATTAAAGCTGAAACTGAAAGCCACAAGCCTACAATTACAGTGGGGTCACTGGGGTCAAACGACCCCATGGAAGCCATGGAAATAGGCTTGGAGGTCCACTTGAGCTGGCTGTGTGACCCGCTTGATGTTTTGCCTCAGAGGAAGAGGGAGGAAGCTGCGCGCAGGAGGAAGAAGAAGCAGCCCAACGCGCTTCTGTTTTTAAAAAAAACACCCTGGGTAAAACGACGTCGTTTACTAAGCAGAAAGTCCTAGGTTCGACCCCTACCTGGCGCGTTTTCTTTTTCATCTTTTAACCTGTTTTGTTGTTGGAATCAGCCAGTCAACTTTGTTCCATTTATTATTATTTCTTCCTCCCAAATTCCAATGACTGGCTTAGAAATTAGAATCCATGAATGATGAGCTTTACTTAATTTTATCTACGGATGACCACAACATGGTTTTATCACCACTATTTAACACTTAAGAATTTCTTCACACACCCAACAAAAAAAAAAACAAAAAACACTTGTTTTTCTTCATTGTAATTAGAACAAAATGCAGTAACCAACAGATTGGAACCAGATGTGCAGGCAAAATATCTGACCCAATAAAATTTTGGCTTGTTTTTCCAACAGTGCTAAAACCAATATTACAAAAAAGTCTAAACAAAGCAATGAGTTCTCCACTTGTTAATTAC